TTTAATTAGCTTAACCACAAATGCCACCGTTTTACATACCGCAGAAGAGTTTAAAACAAAGAAGCATAATTGCTTTTTTAAAAAAAACAAGAAAGAAGCAAATAATTCTACTTCTGCAAAAAAAAAAAAAAAAAAAAAAAAAAGCGAATGCAAATTAATTACAACTTGAAACAGCTTTCAAGTTTGGTAATTGCACAGAAAAATATATCTTCTTCCCTGTCTGCTGTTTACAGATTAATTCAAATGTAACATGCTAATATCAGCTGGCCACATATCACTGGATTTTCTATGAATTAAATTTGTCTCTCAACTAAATGAGGGAAAAGCGAAGATGCCCTCTCCCAGCCAGCTACTGGCAGTAAACACTGAGGAGTTGAGAGGTGTCACTGTTTAATTTTATGCTCTATAATGTCAGAGGAAGTAAGAAAACATTTCTGTGAATCATTAAAGTTGCAAGAGAGAGCTGGACTTTTCGGGGGTAACAGGAAGGTTGAATGAAATACAGACAACTTATCTCAATTTCATCCTTCAGGGATTTTCATCTATGTCTGGCATGGAGCATGTCAGGTTTGGAATTGTTGGCAGCCTTTTGTAAATGTTCTGGGAGACAACTGGAGTTGACCTCATTAACTGTGTTGTTTGTCAGCATAAGATGGTAAAGGCAGTTTGAAAAGAGAAATCTGTAATCCATGCTTTAAAATGATAACTGCTCTCACACACAGTGGAGCATCGCCTCTGCTTCAAACATAAACCATATTTTGTAGTTCTTAGATCATCCAAAGACAATGCTACTCTTTGGCAGAGATCAAATACTAGCAATGAGATTCAGATTAGAGCATCTCAAATGTTTTGTTTTTATCTTTGAATACTTTGATATTGGCAGCTGAGCCAGGGTAATCCTATCAGTAAATACGACTGTCAGGAAGTACAGGAAGGCCCATAAACATTCAGAATCAGATTGACTTAAAATGCAGGGTTTGATGAAAAAAGTGTATGAGACCATGACTGAGTAAAGAAACAGTTAAGAAAAAGTCACAGAGCCAAGCTGAGAAAGAAACTGTGCCAAACAGGATGAAGGGGGAAGCGGTAGTGAGAGGAGTCGACAGGTACAAAGCAGAAAAGGAAAAGAAGGGGAGTGGGATTTGTGGTCTTCTCATGCTCTGCCAGCAGCGAAAAGACGGGGAAAAAGTGGAAAAAGGAAGGTGTGAAAAAGGAAATCATGGCTTCAGATTTGGAGTTCCAGGGTTTAGAGGGCTCCTGGGAGCATGTTAACCTTCACAACCGCGTGGCACATGTGTGTGCATGGTTGGGTTAATGTGTAGAGAGCATGAGTCACGGTGTGAGTAAGCTTCTGCACGGAGACACTCCCTTTCACAAAAAAACAAGTCGGCGTGTTGGCAGGGAGAACCTGTCCTCCTTTTTCTGGGAATTAAAGCTGATTAAGTCGTGGCTAATCTGAAAGAAAAGTTGGAAAACACAGCAGAAGTGTTGAAATGCAAACAGTTTTTAGTCACGCTGAAACAAAGTAGTCATTAAAAGTTCAAGCAGGCTCGACCTTGGAAGTCAGCAGGGCCCAAGGCGCGATGGCACTACAGGGGAAGAAGTGGATATGCATGAGTGTGTGCTGCTGAACAAACAAGCTGTGAAAAAGGAAATGAGGCTGGCCGTGCGGACCGAAGTGATCAATCTCAGATCGATTTGATTAATCACAGCTTTTTTTTACGGTCGGAGAGCACCACAAGGGAGAAATGATGGACGTCAACACATTGGATCAAGAGACGGGTCACAGGGGAGGCAGTGTGGAGATTAAAAGATGAAAATCTACTGAATGAAACAAATTCTGAAACTCTGCTTAAGATAAAAGAGAGAGAGAGAGAGAGAGAGAGAGAGAGAGAGAGAGAGAGAGAGTCATTTGGAGAAAATCAACAAATGCAAACAAGACGGATTACCAGTTTGTACACAGGCACTGCAACTGTTGTTGCACAGCAGGGGCACGCCAACATTAAAATAAAACCCCTCTCTGTCTGGGACTTTGACTTTCCTCTGATTTCCAGAGAAAAGATTTGCTGCTGTAATTATGGACTTTCTAAGAACATTACATGGTGCAGTTTTATCCCTCATGGGGAGAAAGTTGGTTGTGGGAGAACTTTTGGTGTTTGCAGAGAGAGATGAGAGGATGATTGATCGAGACGCCGTTGGTGTGATTGAGTGATTGTCTCCCAGAAGTCTCTGTTTGCACTTGCCTGCTCATGTGTGTCGCTATGTGTGTCTCTGTGTGCAGAACTTTGCCTGTGCTTTCTTGAACCTGACCTTCTTTGGGCCGTTTCACCCCAGACATCATCAACTATGATTCGGATTGACCCCCATCGCTTATTCCAAACGGCCGGTTCCTAACCCCGACGATTTGAGCTCCAATTTCTTCTCCCCGAACAATCCATCTCTCTCCCACGTAGTGTGACCTACTGGGCAGGCTTCATGTTACTTCCTCTGTCTCTGTCGTGCAGCATTATTGCGCGTCCTGCCACCTGAAACATAAACGCCCTCCTGTCTCCCTGACGGCCCGCGCAGAACGCAGCGTGAAAGACGTCCCCTGATTTAGGAGATGCAGTAACCTCATGACTCCACGCAGTGGTTAGGGCTCTGTGTTAGATGGGGAGGATATTGCAACAGATATTTCAACACACTGCTGTGAGTCAAGCCTGTAAAAATCCCAGAAACGTTTATGAGCTGAAAGGATGTTAGCCCATGAATGAAATAAATGTGTGGAACAGATGCTTTTTTTGTTGCGTTTGCCTTAAGGATGCCGTCCAGTGGTGTATTTTTTTTATTCAAATATGAACGTAAACGGGCAATAAAACACATCTGGGTGATTAAATAAGGCTTTTCACAGCAAAAATACTACGTTTTTAAAAGGCAAATTAAAGAAGAAGAAAAAAACTATATGCTAGATCTGCTTTGATGACACCACAAGAGGAACAACACCCAATTTCATATCCATTAAGTTTTGAACCATGCTCTTAAGCCAACCGTTTAGCTTTCTCTGGGTTGATTTTTATTTTATGTTTTTCTAAAGATGAAGATATCAGAATTTTCCAGTGCTTTTGGACCACCAATTGGCCAATTCTGATTTTGACCAGTTCCGACTAGAACACATGCAATAAATTAGCTGCACGTTCTTCAACTAGAACAATTAGAAAACTGACAAATGTTTCTGTTTTTGCATCTCCATATGCAAACACACAATTAAAGTATATGCTCTTTGATGCCTTCAAGACTCAAAAAGGAGGGAGTTCTTAGTTTTGATTTATTTTACAAATAAGAGGAAACAAATGTTTTAGTATTTAAACTGAAACTTAACTGTTTTATGCAATTAAGGGAAATTTGGCAAATTGTGGCCAATTGAATAATCAATATTCATGTCTTTCATGAATGATAAAAAGTCACAAAAACACTCAAAACTTGAACTTTGTTTGGATCAGATAAGATTGAGCTTTAACCAGGGTTAGACTCTGATGGCCACCAAAACTAAAAAAAAGAAAAAAAAAAAGACTGAAAAAAACATCAAATATCGTCTTTAACTTTAAAAATTCTGGCCAGTTCTGTGGCACTGAAAGGAGTCTGACCTCACAGTACTTATCTAAGCTTAACAACTTTTCCCTTTCTGACTGCTGAAAGATGTTTTCTTCTTTTTCTCACTTCTTTGCCCTGGTGTTGCCAAGAATGGTTGGTTGGACAAATGCACTCATTGGAGAGCAAACTGGAGGGATTGGGTCAATTATAAACTATTAGAGGAGGGAGTGACTGATGCAGAAAAAATACTGGAGCTTGAAAAGTATCTTACCAGAACACATCAACCAGGCCATTTTGGTTTCATTTAATGACTTGGCTCAAAATCTTTGCTGAAGATTCTTCATTCTCATATCTATTTTCAGTCAGCCTAGAGGCGACATCCATGTACGATATTTAGAAAGGCACCAAAAATTTGGCAAGAGACAGAATTGGATAATTCCCCTTGATCGGTGGGACAAATACTGAAAATCCACATTTTCTTTCTATTCCTCGCAGCACATTGCTCGTTTCACTCAGATGCTATCGGGGAGAAAATATCTGAATTGGTACAAACTGGAATGTCAGAAAAAGCCAGGATTCTGTATCAAGCAGAACAAGCCTATAATCTATGTATCATTCTGTCAAATAGCTGAAATATTGTGCCACAACTTTGCAGAAGAGTAGTAAACATAAGAAGAAATTGATGAAAAACTGAAAAAAATCACCAAAATACATACATACAAAAAAACAACAACAATAAGCTACTTTATGCCTTTTGTGATGTCATTTAAGTACACATGTGTCTGGTCGGACAGATTATATATTGATATATTACGACTTATAACAAATTAGAAGTGCAAACAGGAAATCCGAACTTTCTATGTTGTTGAATAGATGAAAACCAATAGTGAGTGACTTTACCGAAAAGTCCGGATAATGGCTTTAAATCCCCGCTGCTTTCATTAAATCCCTCCATTTAACTCAGCTTTATATCCATCTAATAGCAGGAAATGTTTAACAACTTCGCTTTCAAGTTAAAACGATAAATACACAAATAATTCTGCGCCACATGCGCACCGAGATTGCGAAAACAAAACAAGAAAATAAAAAAAACCCGGACTAAATGAGAACAGGTTGAGCCATGACCTGCAGATAAACAACCTTATAATAATAACAAGGCACGAAGGAAAGTGTCGTAAAGTGGGGGGAGAGAGGGAGGGAGCAGAAACACTCCCAACTGTCTGGCATTATCATGTCAACAGCATCCAGTTGCCTCCATCCCAAACTCATCAAAACAACAACCACAGGAAGCTTGCTGCAATTACCCATGCATGCACTCGAGCACTGATCGTGAAGGATTGCTGGCAAACAATTAAAGATGAAAACTTCTCGTTTTCTTCACTTTTGAGCATGCATCTGATCCGAGGGGTGAAATGAGAGGAGATGCTTACTTTGGGTTGGTGCTGTTCCAGTAGACGCTGTGCCGCTCCGCCGAGGCAAACCAGGCGCAGAAGGTCGCAACGAAGCCCGCAATCCAAATTAAATCCATGCTGGAGAGAAGAGTCGGAGGCGCGCAGAGGCTCGCAGAAGTAAAACTGACTGATTGCGCAAAAACTAAAGAGCAAAAAAGGGGGAGAAAAAGCTGACTACCACTGATAATAAAGTGCACGCCCACGCACCTGGAGGCTGCACGCTCAAAAATGATAAACGCTTTCTGTAAATCTGACAGAAGAGTAGCAAAGAAGTGGGAAAAAACTCTGAGTAAACAAGTGAACTCAGCAAAGCCGGAGTGAATGAGAGGGCGAGCGGCGTGGAAGATGGTTTTGTGAAACGCCCAGTGCAGGAAGACACGCCCTCCGTGGGGCAGGGGACCAATCAGAGACCTGTCCGAGAAATGGTGCGCTTTGAGGGTTTGAGCCAGCAGTGGTGGAGGGTGTGTGTGTGTGTGTGTGTGTGTGTGTGTGTGTGTGTGTGTGTGTGTGTGTGTGTGTGTTTCCTGTCCAGGGTAACTCCACGTTCACTGGAGATAGACACCATCACCTGCCGACCAGATTAAGGACAAGGGTGTTAGAAAATGGATGGCTGATGAAGAGGATGAAATGAACCACAATGTCTTGTAAAGCATCTGTGTCAACTAGCTCTTTCTGCAGGCGGGCTGTAATAAATTTTAAGTAACTTTTTGAAAACAATGTACCTCCAGGAGAAGCTTCACTGCTCCAAACTTTTTACTTCAACTTGTTATTATGAAGTAGCAATACGCATGCTTGGGTAAACATCAAATAAAGAACAAGAATGCTTTCACCATAAATGCACAAGTCACAGGCACTCACTTGCAGTATATGTAAAAGTGAGACTTCTGGTCTGTGCACAAGCTTTTAATGTTTTAATGTTCAAACCTCCAGAGTGATTTGAAGGTCAAGTTCATTTACAGTAATGTATGTAGTGTCAGTTGAAAAACTTTATTCTGTTCTAATTCAGATGAGAACAGGTAGTCACTGGTTTCATAAGTTTTATTTAAAAGAAAAAAAACCAAAAACAAAAAGCGTTTCTTTTTCCCTAAATGTGTTACTTTGGAATTACGTAATTTTTTTTGTTGTGACTTTGCTGCTGTGTTAGTCCTTCAAACACCAGAATTTGCATATAAATTGACATATCTTTTCTGTCTGAGTACATCATTTTTAAATGTTATCTCAGTTGTTATAATCAGTTTGTACTTGCCTCATTTCTTGCCAGGAAAGTTAAAGGCAGACATCCAAGTAGTTGTTGGATGCCTTCCACTTTTACTAGAATTAAAGAAATGCTGGAGTTATCCTACTTTTACCTGAATACCATTTTGGGCTCCATAGGGCTAAAAAAATTACATTGAACGTAATTTTTTTCTGAGGTGCAACACACTGAAGCTTTTGTTTACATCCACTTTAATGATGAAGTTTCTCCTGTAGAGAATCTTTATCAAGACCTGTTTTCCAGAACAATTTCAACTGTATCTCTATAATAGTTGATTACTGTCTTCCCTGCTCACGTTAGAAAGATGTGCACAGTGAGTGTCAAAGCTGTACTTTTACACTTTATTACACTGTTCACAGTAAACACAGCCAATTAATTAAACTTGAACACATTCAGATTATGTTTTCCCCCCAAACCTATGTCAGTCACTGAGGTGCACCCCCGATGCTAAAACAGCGGTTGGGCAACATCCAGGGTGTTGCTCAGCGACTTCATTAACTCAAGGTGTACGTCTTCCAACAGTGTTTTTAATGAAGCGTCAGAGTAACAACAGACATCAGTGGCACCTCATTTACTATTAAAGTTCCTCCTTTACTTAAAGTAGATCAAATGTTCAGTCCTGGTGGAGTTCAGCTTTTAGAGATAATTGGATCAACCCTAATTTTCTGTATCATTGAATAAATAATCTGAACAGGGAGCTGCTTGTTCAGTGAAGTGCACTCCTTTGCCCATGGGGCGTTTTCAAGCCTACTTCTGCTTGGCATAACATTCTATTTGCAGCCTGTTCAGCAGCAGCCCAACTTTTAAAGGTATCACAGTAAACAAGTAGAGCTGAAAACACAGTTTTACACCATTTTGCAGGAAGGTCTGAAGGATGATATTTAAAAAAGATTCTATAAACATCTCTTTATATAAGGTAGATTATATGGTACTGTAAATTTAGCATTTAAAAATGGAAAACATTAAATATAGTGACTTGCACTGATGATTTATTTATTTTTTTAGATGTTGTCAAGTCAAAACAACAAACTTATTAGTATTTATTTGTGTATTTATTTGTGTTTTATATGTTAAACCAACCCAAAAGGTATGCTGTGGGGCAGATTTCAACATTTCTTTAGGTAAAAATCTTAAAGGTGTTCATTTATATACAACCTCTTTACTCTGATACCTCTAAATAAAATCCACTGTGACCAAAATTCACCTAATAAGTAAACAGGCTCCCTGTGTGTGTGATTTAACGTCAGTAAAAATTCAGCTAAGGCCTCAAAACATTGAACAAAACATTACCCTCAAGCTTTGCAAACTATCGATTGCATTACAATAAGCATTTGTCTTAATAACATGCAAGAGTCAGATCAGTGTAACGCATTTACATCTGGGGATACAAAAGCATTCCGCTAAGCATTCTGGGAAACAGTTCGCACTTTCTATCTTTAACTTCTTTCAGTTTTTTAAGTGCGAGCCTGAAAACTCTAGTTTATTCAACTCTCGGAGGTTTGACAAACTTAACAAAAAGTTAACGCAACTCACTGTAAGTTTGTCTTTCATCAACTCGCACATTTAAGTTCAAAATCTAAAAGAGTAGAAGACAGATACAGCTAAATGCGACTCAAATGTTTTACAACGGAAAACCTTTTATTTAAGGGTAAAACATTACAGGTGGCTGGATACTGAAGAAAACCCCATTTCTGTAGATTTTATTTGGAACAAAGGAAGGACATTTTTCCTTCTCTTCAGAAATTTACAGTGATTATGTTGGCCTCTCCACAGAGTCCTAAAAATAAATCAGCCTTGAGTTGAACATTTCAAGTTTGTCTCAAACAAATCTCATACCTTGACCAGTCGAGAAGGCTTCAGCTGGCAGTTTCAGAAGATAATTAAACTGTCAGCTTAGCTGTTGATACGAATCAGTTATTAGTCAGACAGTTTAATTGTCTCACTGTGGTTACATCAACCAAACTGGAGTTTCCAGCACATTTAAATCTCTTATAATACCTGTCAGCCTCTCCTGTTAACTCCGGTTTGAAACTGCACTTGCTTGTCCTGATCTTCCAATGATCTCCTCCATAAACCCGACCACCCACCCACTCTCTGCTTTCATTACTCGCTTTCTGTAGCAAAAGTCCCCGACTCGAGCTCTTTGCACTCTACAGATAATACATTCTGCGTTCAGTGGCGGTGAGAGCTCGCCAGTGGAGGCAATCTGCATTTTAAAATTCTGTCCAAGCTGACAAACCATTTCAGGTCTAACGCTGCAAACACAGAAAGGCATACATGCTTGGTAATTGTGCACCATTCTGTGTCAAGCAGGTCATCCAGAAAGGCAGTGTTTTGTATTCATGAAGAGCGCTCATCATCCTCCTGCTGGATCAATTTTTCAGAATCCAATTGTTTTTTCTGGCTCCGTATCCAAAGAGAAGGAGTTTGAGAGGGACTGCCAGGATAATTGTCATTTGCATTGCAATAAAAACCTGCGTGGGTGGGCGGGAGGAGATTTCAGCATGTCAAAACTTCAAAATGAACTTCATCCAAAACCTAAATTTCTGAATTACTAAACAAATGTAGCTGAAGAGAGCTTCTGCTGCTGAGTCCAGATGTGTGTTAACGCGCCGCGAATGAACCTCAGCAGCCATATGAAAACACACCCTCATAAACGCAACCTTTTTCACCTCAATTCCCGGCAGAACTTGCACCGAGCTCTCCTCTGTGGCATAAAAATGAGACACAGAAAAATGACAGGGACGGCCATTTTGTGTCGGCATGGGAACATGACGACCCATATTTTCCCCCCCAATCCTTTTAACCAGAGTAATTAGGTGATGTCATAGAAACGCACTCTCTGTGATCCTGAAAAGATCAGAACATGAAATGACACATTTTGACAAAATTGAGAAACATCCACTGTCACAGACAGAAGATTCAGAGGCTGGTCTGAGGATGTTGCTGCATGAGTCAGGCTAATTTGCTGATGTTTACTTCCCTGAATCTACAGTCAAATGAAGACTGTCACCAATTTAGTTCAGCTCAGCCATTAGAGAGCTTGGTCCCTTTTGCTGTGAATACAAATGAGAGGTTTAATGGCAGATTATCATCATGTTCCCCTCCCCTAAAGAAGAAAAAAGCACTGTCTATTTACATAAGTGGACCCTGTTGGTGTGAATCATGCAGAAGCCCAGCGGTGCTCCATCCAGTGTGTCTCCTTACATTAGCCTCTTCGAGCCCCATTGTTAGTCAATGCAGCCCCGCTGCTGGAGTTGTTCCTCAACCTGAGAGCTCTTTCTTTGCAAACAATGCAAGTGAAGTGTTTCCTGTAATTAGCACTGCATAGATCTACCTTCTCCTTTCAAATCAAGACTCAATAAAAAGCAACGTGTTCACTGCTTTCTTGATACGTTGCCTGTAAAAAATAAAATAAAATAAAAACCTCCAAAAAACATGTAATTACTTGCTTTAATTTAAAAGTCATTTAATGACAAGGTGAAGCAATTTCAAAGGCAATCAGTGAGTAACAGTAACATTAGTGTGAAGAGATGAATCGCTAAGCGTTTCCTCCTAATTAGCTGTGGTTAATTATCGGGCTGATTATACAGACCTACATTTAATGTTTCCAGCAGTGTGTCAACTCAGTTCACAGCAAAATGCACTAAATGTTTGATTTATGTGTGCAACACAGAGCCATTTACACCTAAAAAACCTTTTTACATTTTGTCACATTATGACCAAATGTATATTGTAGCGATTTTATGTGGCACTCCAACACAAAGTAGCACATAATTGTGAACAGGAAGGAAAAGGACTAATGGTTTTCACAAGTGCTTACAAATAATGATACGAAAAGTGGGGCATGCATTTGTTTTAAGTCAATCCTTTGTAGAACCGCCAGCATTTAAGGCTGCAGGTTTTCTTGGTCTGTCCACCAGCTGTCCACATCTACAGACTAACATTTTCATCCACTCCTCTTTGTGACGAGTCAGTCACACCATCTATGAACATTAATATGCAATTGCTACAGATTCTCAATTAAAGTCATGACTTTTATTGAGT